TTAAGTTTATAACTTTATGGCTTTTTTTGCAACAAGATCACATTCTCGCACTTGTACTCAACAGACTCACAGACGTTTAGGGCTGGAAGAGACCTTGTAAGATCATTGGGTCCAGCCCCACTCACCCCACCTCCCTCCCCGCCCGCTCTGGGCAGGAAAGACTGCTAGGGTCAAATAACTCCAGCAAGTTGTGCATCCAGTCTCCTTTTCAAGATCTCCAGGGTAAATGACTGTACCACCCCCACTGGGAGTCTACTCCAGAGTCTGGTCACAGGAACCATGAATACAATTTTCCTTATATCCAGTCTGAAACCTTCTTCTGGGAGTTTATGACAGTTGCTCCTGGTTTTCCCAGGGGAGCTCTGGTGAATAGTTGTTCACCTAGCCCCTGATGCTCTCATTTGTATACTGCCACCAAATCCCCCCAAAGTCTTCTCTTTTCTAGGCTGAACAGTCTCATATCTGTCAGCCTTTCCTTGTATGGCTTGCTCTTCAGGACTCTAATCATATGAGTAGCTCTTCTCTGGACTCTCTCCAGCTTCTCCCCATCCTTACCTCTCCATGCTCTCCACATCCTTTTTGAAGTGTGGTGCCCAGAACTGGACGCAGTGCTCCAGCTGCGGCCTCACCAATAATGAGCAGAGGGGGAGAATATCTTCTTTAGTTTTGCTTGAGATGCATGAGTTGATGCACGCCAGCTTATTGTTGTTCTGCTAACACATTGGTGGCTCATATTCATTTTATGGTAAATTATAACCCCCAGCTCCCTTTTGGACATGGTGTTAACTAGCATAGCACCACCCAGCCTGTAAGTTTATTGTGGATTTTTCCTCCCCAGATGGAGCACATTACACTTCTCAGTGTACAGATGGTTTGCTGTAGCCAGCCACCAGGACTTTCTCTGCAGTACTGCAGCCTAGCCAGTCCCTCCCAATCTGTATTTATCCAAACAATTATATATCTACCTAATAGTGCTTTCCTTTAGTCCATCGTTCCTTCTATTTTCTTGTAATGAAACAGATTGACAGGCTGAACATAATCACTGGCTATGCTAAATTAAAAGGACATCTGATAAGGCTACCATAAGCATCAAATAAACCAATATATTGCGAAACGTATATTCCAGAACAGCACAACACTAGACCTAACATTTTTCCAGACTGTTTGAACAATTAGTTTTGTGAGAAATTGAGGGGGGAAAAGCATACTCAGCAAACACTTGTGGCAATGTTTTCAGGTTTCAGTCTCAGAGGGATAACCATGAAGCTGTAAACAAGACCTCAGGCACCAAAATGGACCAAACTACATATGGGAATATGCACAGTGAGTGAAAAGGAGACTGTAAAACAATGAGTCCCATCATCAACACACCTATAATGTTCAGAAGAAATCAGTGCCAAGCTAAACCCCTAACCAGTTGAAGTTTCCAGCATTTGGGTTGCTAGAGTGAAATTTTTTTACCCCTCACAAAGTCCCTCATGGCGTTTTTGACCTTTTCATTCCTCAGACTGTAAATGAAGGGATTCAGAGGTGGTGTGACCACCAATGATAACATGCTCACTGCTTTCTGCACATCAGGGGAGCGTCCCTGGCTTGGCAGGCAATACATGAAATGCCACTGCCATAGAAAATAGAGGCCACAGTAATGTGAGAGGCACAGGTAGAAAAAGCCTTCTGTCTCCCCGTGGATGAGCGGATGCGCAGGATGGTGCTGATAATGTATGCATAAGACCCAAGTGTGAAAGCTAATGAGCTGGCCTGCACAACTCCGGCAAGGACAGACTCTATAGTCAAGAGCAGGTTGGTGTCGATACAGGAGAGCCGGACCAGTGGGGCATAGTCACAGAAGAAATGGTCTATTATATTGGGGCCACAGAAGGGCAACCTGCTTAGCAGGATGATGGAGGAAAGTGGGAAAAGGCATCCACCCAGCCAGCATCCCAAGACGAGGAGGGCACAGACACGCTTATTCATGATGAGATGGTAGTGGAGAGGGTGGCAGATAGCAACATAGCGGTCAAGGGACATGACAGCAATCAGGAAGAATTCAGCAATGCCCAGGAAGAAGTAGAAGTAGCACTGGGTGATGCAGCCCCAGAAGGTGATGGTTTTGTCCAGAGACAGCAGGTTTTCCATCAACTTTGGGATGACAGAGAAAATGAAGAGGATCTCCAGAATGGACAGGTTACAGAGAAAGAAGTACATAGGGGTACGGAGCCGACGATCTTTAAACACCAGGCTGATGATCAGGAGGTTCCCAGTCAAGGTCAATGTGAAGATGGCTAGCAGCAGCACAAAGAATAGGATGTCCCATGGCCAGGGCATGGGGAAGCTCAAGAGGACAAATTCGGTCACCACACTGCTGTGGTTGTGCGGCTTCATAGCTACAGCATATTCCCTGGGCAGAGAGAAAACACACTTAGCTTAATAAACTCACAAGTATTCTCCTTTCCTTTTCATCTTTTTTTTCTTGCTGTTTCTGCCTGCCTGTCTGTCCCCAGTATAGCCCTCCTTCTGTCTTTCTTTCTTTCTTTTTTTTCCTGTCCTTCTCTCTCTCTCACACAACTTAAAGAATGTGCTAACTTTCATATGAACACATTATTTAAGATATCTACCATTCCATCTCTTTGTCTAGCTATAAATGCCTAACTGCCAAATGTGGCAAACACATCCAATACGAAAAGGCAGAAAAGTGAAGCGCAGAAACATGATGGAATTAGGATAGATAGATAGATAGATATATAGATCTAGATCTATATATATATATATATATACACGCCCTGAGAATGGGCTATAATCCTTTCATAACTCCTATTCCTCCCCAGTCCTATGCAAAATGTTAACTGAAGATACTGAGAGAGAGAAAGACAGAGATAGAAAGGCAGGTATTTCAAAAAGATACCCAAGTGTCATTCCTTTGATTTATGGAACTCTATATGAGAGGTTCAGTAGGAGCTAGAATTAGGCTACGCTCAATTTAGGATAATGGACTTAGAATTTTCTTGCAGATAGATTAAAATATTGCTTAATCGGATAATATTGACTGATTCAGGATACAAGTCAACCCCTTAAGAAGGACAAGCTAGAGACTTTCACAGGGTATTGCATACCTGGTTATGGCAAGACTGCTTTGAATCTCTCCTGAAGCCTCTGGTGCTCAACATCTTTGGACAGAAGAGACCCCACTAGCTGGCATGCAGAGCTGATCCTGCCGGACTATACTCTATTCCTTCAAACATTAGGACAGCCCTGCATAGAATCTGAAACTCTACTACTGTAATATTAGATAGCTCCAGTTGATGCTATTAAGATAGACAGACACATAGGGAGTGAGACAGAGGGAAGAGAAAGAAGTAACCTTTGAAACAGCAGTGGTTCTTTGTGCAGGTTTTTCTGTGGGTGGCATCTTTGTTTTTATTGAAAAGACCAAGGAGATATATTTAACTTAAAAGAACAGTTCAAAGTACACAGCTGGTGATACCCAGGAGGCCGTACCTTGGGATGTTCCCTAGGACTGACACAGAGGGACAGAAAAGTTTCTTGTCACACCTGATTCACTACACTGGACTCTGATGCACAGATAATCATTTTCTGGTGACAATTTTCACATCTGCCCAAACCACTGGGATGCAACTAAGAGGGTGGAAAAGGTCCAATGTGCAAATATTTTCCAGAACGCATATCTTAAGCAATTATCTTCTGAGATGGCCAAGACAAATGTGGGTGTCCTTTGAAAACAGGGAGATTTTAGGGATCTGTCCCAGAATGATACGTCCTTACATCTGTTTTGTAAATGTCTCAATTACGTTTTTTCAGGTGTGTGGAGGGGAGCGGGGAACAGAGGAGGGAGGCTCACTACATCTTTCAGGAATTAATTTGGCCAGGACAAAAGTTGTGCATGAATGGACTTTATTGGACAGAAAAACACATACTATCATAATCTGAACATTTCCCCAGGTCCCTGACCATGGTCTGAAGCCTGGTGGATAGGAATATGGGTCTGAATTTGGGACCAATAATAGAGTGAGTAGTATGTTAGTGTGTATATGTGTTTCATGGCACACGGAGTATGTTTACTTGTGTCAACAAGATTAAGCTATCTTGTGTGTTGCAGATCAGTGTACATGTGTTGGTGGGGCTCCTGTGAAGTGAGTGGCATAAAGATTGTGCAGAGAAAGAGATCAACCCAGCCTGGAACAGCATGTGGCAACATGTGGGTCAGAGGAGAGAGAGTTCTCAACAAAGTCATAGAAATAGATCTGTGGAAGCATAAAGTGGAATATTAAGTACGTGTCTATGTGCGTGGACAGGGTAGGGAAGGGACTACATCAAATTAGCAGTGGAGGCTGTTTGCTGGGATGTGATGGGCAAGTGTCCAAGTACTCAAAAAATGGTCTTTCTCATTACTTTATCCTAACTACAGACAACAATGGTACATGGGACTAAAGAAATACTGATGGAATTTCTTTGTTCCCTGCCATGTTCCTTCTCCCTGTCTTATCCACGCTTCAGTCTATCTTACCCTCTCCAGGGATAGATGGTACCACTTTGGCTGTCCCAGATGGACTGAAAGTGTTGGCTCCCACATATCATAAATGCTAGTAGGCTGCTATTTCAATTGACTGTTTCATTCCCTGGTGAATGTACCCTGTGTGTGAAACTCAGCATCTAAGAATGCTTTACAATCATGACAGTATGTGATGAGGTACTTACAATGTCTGAGGTCCTGTATCTTTTTTTGTCATAGCATCATTTGACAGTTGCTTAATTACTTCACCCTGGGCAAACATAAACTTTAGGATTAATTAAATTATAAAACTGCTTTAACAGCCCACAGCTCAGCACCTATGCAACTACCACCTGTGGGATCCCATTTATCTAATAACGCTACCAACCCACTGAAAAAATCTTAACATTTTTATCAGTAAAGTTTTTAAATATGCATAATGTCCAAATGTGGTATCTAGAATTCAAGGTGTGGGGTTTGGGAGCTATGTGTGGCCAAGAAGAAATAGAGAGCATGTGTCTCTGTGAGATTGAAGATTCTCTTGAAAAGAGGAGTCCTTAGTTTCCAAATTGAGGAACTAAGGAGGGAGGAACACCCTAATTCCTCTCAAAGTTCACTTGATTTTCCAAAATACTCAGATTATTGTGTTCTGTAGGAAATGTATTAGGAAAAAATACAGTAAAATAATAGAGGTTTGCTGGTCAAGGAGATATATCATTCCAAACCCTGTTTAAGGCAGTGTGTAGCAGTGAATAGCAGTGAACAAGGGAGAATGAGCAAGCTGCACAAACAGACCAAGAAATACGTTAGGCCAACATATATATTTTTCCTTACAACGTCCTTCAAGGAATTCTTGACCTTTTCATTCCTTAGGTTGTAAATGAATGGGTTCAAAGATGGTGTGACCACCACTACTAACAGAGCTTCTACCTTCTGAACTTTAGGGGAGCATCTCCGGATGGGCAGGCAATACAAGAAAACGGTACTGCTGTAGAAAATAGAGGCCATGGTAATATGGGAGATGCAGGTGGAAAAAGCTTTCTGTCTACCTGAGTTTGAGAGGATGCACAGAATGGTGGTGATAATGTAGAGGTAAGATGCAAGTTTGAAAGCCAAGGATCTGCCCTCCACAATGCCAGCAAGGATTATCTGCAGGGTCAGTGGAAGTTTTTCTTCAGTGAAGGACAGCTGGACAAGCAGGATGTAGTCAAAAAGGAGTGATCTATCATGTTGGGGCCACAGAATGGCATCCTGAACAGTAGGGTCATGGCAAAAATGGGAAGAAGGATTCCTCCCAACCATCAGAGCAAAGCTATAAGAGCACAGACATAGTCATTCAGGATGATGGAGTAGCAAACTGGGTGGCAGATAGCAATGTAATGGTCAAAGAACATGATGGCAATAAGTGTATATTCAGTGGTGCAAAGAAAGAAGAAGTAGCACTGAGTCATGCAGCCCCAGAAAGAGATAGTTGAGTCCAGCGCTTTTATTTTTTACGAGTCGGGAGCTGGGGTGGGAGGGGCAGCCATGGGGTGGGGGGGCACTGGGAAAGTGGGTGGGAATCTGGGGGCTTGTGGTAGAACCCCCCACGTGGCTTGGGATAGTAAGGGGCAGCGGGGATCGCCCCCCTGCCTGGCAGCACCTGGTGAATCTGGGGCTTTTTTTTTTTTTTTTGCTTAAAGAACCAGGAACTGGGGCCAGGGGAGCAGGCAGAGGATGGGGGCTTGTAAAAGAGCCCCCCACACAGTGAGGGAGAGTGTGGGGCAGCAGGGATTGCCCCCCCCCCTCCCTGCCTGGCAGCAGCCGGTGAATGAGGGGCTTTTTTTTAAAACAGCAGGGAGCTGGGGCTGGGAGGGCAGCCATTGATGGGGCTGGGACAGCGGGCAGGGGATGGGGCCGATTCGGAGATTCGGCTGATTTGGTGGCAGCCGAATCAGTTCAGGACAGTGATTCGAATCACTGAATTGAATCACTGTTCCCTGAATCGGCTGAATCGGAATCCGAAGCGAATACTAGCTGTTTTGCACTGGCGTACTGTGCCTTACATTTACTACTAATTCCAAACATAGTAGATTGATTTCTTTCTTTATTTCTTATTAGTTTAATTTTGGTCATAGGGTAGAAAATTAGGGTTAGAAGGGATTTCAGGAGGTCATTTCATCCAACACCCCCACCCTCCGCCCCCAAATATACACCTACAGCAGAATCATCCCTAGTTAAACCATTCCAGAGAAGTGTTTGCTTAGCCTGCACTTAGAAACTTCCCAGGATGGCAATTCTATAACCTCATGGCTGTCTGAACTGTTTGGCTACCTCTGGGAAGAACCTATGAAGGTTTTAGGAACCATTAGTATTTAGGATCTATAATGCACAAAAAGCAGGGCAAGGGTTTCTATGCCCTAAAAATCCTTGCTTTATTAAAAGACATTTAGAACATATTTTAAAAACAAAACATGAGATTTATTATCTAATTGATTATATTAGATATATATAATTATTACATCTAATTGATACCAGTTGATGATATGCATGGATTATTCTACCTCTGCATCAGTCCTGTGTGACTGGTAGTAGTCACCTTATTATCTAGTGATGGTTGGCAAGTATATTTTTAAAAGTATTTCTAGGCCATAGGCCTGTTTCTTTTTGGTGTGTTTCCAGGTCAAAAAGCTAAAACAATGTAAATGTTATCAAGAGGAGATCACTGCAGGGAAGCTAGGGAATATCTTAGTTGTAGGGGGTCATACCAGGTACGAGACATATTAGGTAACCCCATAGAAGAAGCTCAAATTATGGAAAGTTGTCTTTTGCTTGTCTGGGGCTGTCTTATGATCAAGACCTTGCATTCAGATCCAGATTGATTAAAAAAAAAAAAAGTACTACCAGAAAGTAGTCATTGTAGATAAGTATTAAAAGCATGTAATAATTCACATTAAATTATAGTATCAATCACAGTGTTACCAGGAACTATTTAGAAATTGGAATGGATAAAGAAACAGGGCTTGTTATACTTCCATCACCTCTATTCCCATTGAGTACACACCTCTTTGAGCCAGGGGAGCCTGTAAGAAAACCCCTGAGTGACACATTTTAGATACCAGAGGACAAAGCAGAAAACCAGCCCATGTTCTAGCCACCAAAACTGAGTAGTTAAGGCTTTTATCAACAAAACAGGGAACTCTGGGTTTAGACCCTGGTATGGGTGGGGGTTTTGAACTTGTCTCTGTGACTTCAGATAAGAAGGCTCTCATGCCAGAGCACAAAATAGGCACCATGCCATTGCCTCTCCAGCTTTGCTTTTGAGCTGCCCTCTGAGAGAGCCGAAAGAGGGAGCTGTATGTGGGTAGGAAGAACTTGTAAATTAGACAGCATATGTCACCATGAGATGGAGGCTGCTCTAGAAAAGAGGAGCCCTTGATTTCTAAATTGAGGCATTATTCCTAAGGAGGTAGGAACACCCCAATTCCAATCAAGGTTGGAATACTCAAAATATTATAGTTGTGGAAAATGTTTTAGAAAAAAAAAAGAATAAAGGAATAATAAGAACCATTGAAATAAAAGGTTTTCTTGTCAATTCCAAACATTGTTTGAAGTAGTGTGTATAAATATCAGAGAACAAGTGAGAATGACAAGGTTGCACAAACAGACCAAGAAATATATTAGGCCACGTACAGTACATGGGAATCCACAGAGGTCCAGAACAGAGCTGTCGAATAATCACAGGTATTACCAGGACACTCCCAACTTCTCTGAGGAGGAAGACATATGCCATGTTATGCCTCAGCTGTCCAGAAAATAGTAGTTTACAACACCCAGATACTTAGTGTGCAAATATTTTTTTTCCTTACAAAGTCCCTCAAGGCATTCTTGACCTTTTCATTCCTCAGGCTGTAAATGAATGGGTTCAAGGATGGCGTGACCACCACTATTAGCAGAGCTACTGCCTTCTGAACATTAGGGGAGCGTCTCTGGATGGGCAGGCAGTACAGGAAAACAGTACTGCCGTAAAAAATAGAGGCCACAGTAATGTGAGAGGTGCAGGTGGAGAAAGCTTTCTGTCTGCCTGAGGTTGAGGGGATGCGCAGAATGGTGGTGATAATGTAGAGGTAAGATGCAAGTGTAAAAACGAAGGAGATGGCCTCCACAATGTCAGCAAGGATTATCTCCAGGGTCAATGGAAATTTGTCTTCAGTGCAGGCTAGCAGGACCAGGGGAGCATAATCACAAAAGAAGTGATCTATCACATTGGGGCCACAGAATGACATCCTGAACAGCAGATTCATGGCAAAAAGGGGAAGAAGGATTCCTCCCAGCCAGCAGAGCAAAGCTAAAAGACCACAGACATAGTCATTCATTATGATGGGGTAGTGGAAGGGGTGGCAGATAGCAATGTAGCGGTCAAAGGACATGATGGCAATAAGTGCAAATTCAGTGGTGCCGAGAAAAAAGTAGAAGTAGCATTGGGTCATGCAGCCCCAGAAAGAGATCGTTTTGTCATCTGAGAGCAGGTTCTCCAGCATCTTGGGGGTAATGAAGGCAATGAGAAGGATCTCCAGGATGGACAGATTACAAAGAAAAAAGTACATTGGAGTGCGAAGCTGAGGACGTGTGAATACCAGGGCTATAAGGATGAGGTTCCCCATCAAGGTCAACATGAAGATGATCAGCAGTGCCAGGAAAAATAGGATGTTCAATGGCCAGTGCATGGGGAATCCCAAGAGAACAAATTCTGACACTGTACTGTTGAGGTTATATGTTCTCATGACAGTATTACATGCCCTGGTAAAGGAAGAAATATAAATAACATGTACCACCACTGGTCTGATTGAATACGTAATAATAACAAAACAAGACGTACAAAAGCATGTGAATGCTATGTGATTTCTCTTCCTATGAATTAAGTCAATCAGCTTCACAAGTTAGGGTGAAGTTCAGAAGTTCATGAAACATTGGGAATGGGGTAGATGCCAGCTGGGGATATGTGAATGGAGCCATTCATTGTTTCATAAGATAAAGCAGACTGGAAAATAAGATGAGTTAGAAACTCCTATTTTTTTACCATACCTGACCATGACAAAGTTCCTTAACTCTTCCTCCGAAATACCTCACACCAAGCGTCCTTCAAGATGAGTGACCACACAAGCTGGAATGCAGATCACATGCCACTGGGTAATTCTGTACTGCTACAGATATTAGAGAAACCCCACCCAGATTTTGAATCTTTATGACTGCAATTTTGAATGTCTCCCATTAAGTTGTCCAAAGATAGAGGCACACCTGTCAACAAGAAAACATACTATTAAAGGAAGAATAGCTATATACATGTACATGTAGATAGAGTGTATAAAAAAGAGATTGAGAGAAACTGGAAGAGCCAGAGCTGAAATGAACTGTGTAGACGTAGAACTATCCTTTCTGCTATGTGTGTCTGTGAATTACATCTATACCTTTATGTAAAAAAAGCAGAGAAATGTTTCACTGGGGAGATAATTTCAAAGTGTGCATCTGCTGATAACCCAGGAGACATAATCTGTGCTGTACTCCATAGGGCTTTTCACTGGTGTGAGAGAGAGAGACACACAGAGAAAACTGCAAAACCCAGCGGATTTTCTTGTTATTCCTATTTTGCTACAGTAGAAAATTGGACTTTAATAATATCATTGTGGAAATGTCCACACCAGACCAAAGCCTGAAGCCTGAGGGCATCTGAACATTCAAAATTGTGTTGAGGGAGATTCATATTGGGTTTAAATGGGGCAAGATTGAGGGACATCAGTAAACCAGTGGGTGGGCATGGGTTGTGACAAGACATCCTTCTGTCCAATATTAGTATGTTTGAATTGCCCTCCTCTGAAGAAACAGCTTGAGTGCTTTGCTCAAGTCCCATTTCCAACTTTGCTTCCGTATGTGATGACAGGCAAGTCATGGAAAGAAAGTCATGTTGCACCTCCATCCTATTTCTCTTCCCTTTTGAACACACATCCTGTGTTGAAAATCAACTCTTTCTG